CGTGTCTAGTCGTTGGTGATGACTTTTTTTCTGATATAGTTGTTTATAAGGTGTACGTGTCTAGTCGTTGGTGATGACTTTTTTTCTGATATAGTTCTTTAAAAGAGGGACGAAAGATACCAGAGGGACAGTCAAACTCATAGATCGAAAACAAACTGACAACGCCATGGCCAAAAATAAAAAGACAAACAGACAAATAATAGTACAGATGACACAACATAGAAAACTAAAGACTAAGCAACACGAACCCCACTAAAAACTGGGGGTGATCTCAGGTGCTCCGGAAGGGTAAGCAGATCCTGCTCCACATGTGGCACCCGTCGTGTTGCTTATGTTATTACAAATCCGGTAAATAGTCTAATTCGGTAAGTCACATTCGTGAAAAGGGAAGGGTATTGTAGTTACGACATAAGGAACATATCCGATATCATCTGTGAAACGGTTATTTCATAACGGTCAACCAACTCGTGATGGCGTCCGTAAAATTTACGAAGGGATGATTTCAACTTCACCATTTGGAACTCTTGGCTTAATAGCTTCCTTGTGAGCAGCAATCCTCTATCAAGGAAATCATGATAGGAAACACAAGCCCGGGAATATCGTATCAATTGGGAGATATATACTCCGTATGCAGGCGCTGCTGGAATGTTGCTACATAGAAATAAAAATTCACAATTGGGAAGCTGAAATCATCTCTTTTGTCGTAAAGTTTTGTTTTCAACCGACCCTCATTGTCAATTTCTAGATGTAAGTCAAGATATGAGGCAGACTTAACTGTATCTGTAGTATCCTTTATCTCTAGTTCGATGGGATAGATTCGTTTAACATAGTCACCAAATTTTGTATTATTTAGTGAGAGAACATCATCTATATAGCGGAACGTAGAGTCAAAGGATATTGCTAACTTCTTATCTTTCTTCCTAAGAAGTTCCTGTATGAAGTCAGCCTCATAATAATAAAGAAATAAGTCGGCAAGAAGAGGGGCACAATTGGTTCCCATTGGAATTCCGACAGTCTGTTGAAAAACACGTCCTCCAAACGTAACAAATATGTTGTCAATCAAGAAATCAAGCATCTTGATAATGTCAGTTTTAGAGAATTTTTTGTTTGAGTCAGAGTGATTCTTTACAAAGTAGGATTTATCTCTTTAAGGTGTACCTGTCTAGTCGTTGGTGATGACTTTTTTTCTGATATAGTTGTTTAAGGTGTACGTGTCTAGTCTAACGAACTATTTTGTTTAACAGTTAAGCATAAGACGTTAGAGGGGATATATTTGAACTATATTATTTATAAATTTTTAATTCGCAGTCTGTTTAAAAAGTTTCTTTTAAGAGTGGATTAATTCGGTTGATAGTTATTTACGTACTGTATAAGACAGATAGTAAGTGCACTTGAGGATAAGCTGGTAACGCAACAGTACCCAAATTGCATCGAGTTCTTAAATTTCACCTATATGCATAAAAAAGCGACTGATATCTTATAGGTTTTCCTTGAGACTAAGAAATTCGTATTTTTATCGTTCATCATTATGCACCTATTTCGATGTCACTAAATATTCTTTGAGATACACAAAACGGGCACATTATATATCAACAGATGAAGTCTGTAGTGAAAAAAGTTAAAATTATTTTGCAGAAATGTTGCATGCGACGTCTACAAACACTCAACTTTTAATAATGAGAAAATAAAATTTGTCTCCAACATCCATTTCATACAAAATGCACAAGCATGAAGTAAAATTGTCAAATTGCTTAAAATGTGTGGAGAAATAAAACAAAACATCAGTTATTCAATTTTTACTGATGTGTAGTTAAGCATGGATGCAATTTAAGTACTCCTCATTACAGAATCCTGGATCGTTAAGAGGTCGGTTCAAACCCATTTTTCTATGATCAGATGATTCAGTATGCTTTCAAAATAAAATTTATGGAACTTTATAATAGATTAGGAACATATACAAAATGAATAAAAAATGGAAACTTGTGTCTGTTTCTGAAATAAAGGAGGGTGAAAACAGAGTCAAAATAGGTGCAAATTGGTACTCTTCCGTTATATGTTCTGGAACGCAGATGGGGCCCAAATATATGTGTATAGTTTTTGCTGACAATATGTATTGGTTAGGCTTAAAGTATTTGCTCACGATATATAATAGCAGATACATATCTCTGAAATAGTCAACGTATTTATCAGACAATTTCATTTCCTGGTAAAGCAAATCGCAACTCTTAAGCGCTATATAATTTTTCTTCTTCAAAGATTCCATGATACATGTATGTACCAACAATCAGGGTTCCTGCAAACAATTGTGAAATATACTGATAGACACAAAGTACATCTTTTTTGCGTTACTAATAAGCGCAGCGGTCGAGCTTGAACAACCAAATCGAGACGCTGATATTTTGCAATATTTATTCAAGTAAAATTTGATAATCAATTTGTCAGATTGTATTTGTGTTGTTTTCATGACCAAAAGTTCTCATTTCCTTTACTATTTAATGGCATGTAAATTTAATAAATTCGGATCAAACTTATTAATTTGATGCGACAAAAGTATTGACATGCAAGGGACTGAAAAAGGCGAAACAGATGTAGCGAAGACTGACACGAAAATGTATGATGCAAAGACACTTAAATGATGTCACTTATACCTAATATTAGAGTTTAAGCTCTGGAAGGGTAGCTGTGTATGATTTTAGATGTAACCAGTCTTTCTAATGAAGACGAACCAGAGATAGAATGGTATACGTCAATGGGACAGCAACCAACAGCGATATACGTCAATGAGACAGCAATCAAACGGGAATATACGTCAATGGGACAGTAATCAAACTGGGGTAAACATCAATGAAACAGCAATCAATCGGGGCTATACGTCAATGGGACAGTAATCAAACTGGGGTAAACATCAATGAGACAGCAATCAATCGGGGGTATACGTCAATGAGACAGCAACCAATCGGAGGTATCCGTCAATGAGACAGCAACCAATCGAGGATATACGTCAATAAGAGAGCAACCAAATGTACAGGATATACGTCAATGAGACAGCAACCAACAGCGATATACGTCAATGAGACAGCAATCAAACGGGAATATACGTCAATGGGACAGTAATCAAACTGGGGTAAACATCAATGAGACAGCAATCAATCGGGGGTATACGTCAATGGAACAGTAATCAAACTGGGGTAAACATCAATGAGACAGCAACCAATTGGGGATATACGTCAATGAGACAGCAATCTATCGAGAATATACGTCAATACGACAACAGGGGTTAACATTATTGAAAAAACAACCCAATGACACAAACAACCAAAAGAAATCAGTCAAACAGCATACATTCTTGCCTAACTTTTACATGGTTTCCAAAAAAAAGTCCATATGTGTATATACCTCAGTGACTTTTTGATTGGTAGAGATTAAATTGTGTTTGAGGAAGTCATCAGAAGTAATTCCATATTGTGGATATTTCTGCTAAAATTAAACACAATTGGTTAAAGAATTAAACAGCATATCAGAAAATATTGTATCAGCTGTCCCTACGCTATTTAAATTAAGTAATTTTGGACATTTTACTTATTATTTTTTTACTGTAGTAGTGCAGATCAGAAAATATTGTATCAGCTGTCCCTACGCTATTTGAATTAAGTAATTTTGGACATTTTACTTATTATTTTTTTACTGTAGTAGTGTCTATTTCGTTTTTGTTTGTTTATTTGATTGTTTTTTGTTACGTGTTTATTGCCGCTTTCATCGACCTTGGCTATTGGCGGCTAGCTTTTTTATTAATGTAGGAAGCTGGGTACCCGGAGAGAACCAAAGACATTCGGCATGAAAACTGACAATCCTTGTCAACAAACATTGGATTCGAGCACACCTCCATATGAGCAGAGTTTCGAACTCACAAACTCAGATTTGACAGGCTAGTGAACACTGTAGATGAATTTCTAGTTCATTTATTTTTCTTTCGACAACTTAGACGATTCGACCACCGAATCCATCGTGAAATTCTCATAATTGACAGTGTCTTTGTATGATACGGTGTTCAAATCGAATTTTGAAACGGTGGTAATGTTGTCTCTTCTACGCTACGCTGAAAGATTAGCAAAGCAACGTCACCGCTGTTTCGGAGTTTGGTGTTAAAATGTTTATGTTATTCAAGATACACAAATGCGCACGGAAATCAGTAACTTACTTTCGTGATGATTCTTTGGTGAAAAATCTGTTCTGCTTCTACTAAACATCCTGAGAAAGTTTAAGGGTAGCAACATAGTTATGTTGTCAATAGATTATGTGTCTATTCAAGACGTTTACAACAAAAAATGTTTGAATCGGTATCTAATCTTTGGGGATTAATTTAAACAAGTTGCTTTATGAACTCGCAACAAGAGAAACCCTTTCTATTCAAATCATGAATACCCTCATGATTTAGGCTGAATTGCTAAAGAATGATGATAGGTGACGACGGACTGGTTAACGTGTTGGAAATGTGTCGTAATTGTTAAAGAATGATAATAGGTGACGACCGACCTACGTGTTGGAAATGTGTCGTAATTGTTAAAGAATGATGATGGGCGACGACGGACCAACGTGTTGGAAATGTGTCGTAATTGTTAAAGAATGATGATGGGTGACGACGGACCTACGTGTTGGAAATGTGTCTTAATTGTTAAAGAATGATGATGGGTGACAACGGACCTACGTGTTGGAAATGTGTCGCAATTATTAAAGAATGATGATGGGTGACGACGGACCTACGTGTTGGAAATGTGTCATAATTGTTAAGAATGATGATGGGTGACGACGGACCTACGTGTTGGAAAATGTGTCGTTATTGTTAAAGAATGATAATAGGTGACACGGACCTACGTGTTTGAAATGTATCGATCTGGGTCAGAAGGTTAATTTGTGTATTCAGCATATGTTCAGATGCGATGTAAAATGTCTCTCTCTGTTTCTAAACAAACAAATACTATATTGTCATATAATATAGCTAATAACAAAATATTTTTCTTTATTATAGATATATGGTCTACATTATGCAATAAATTACAGTCATTTGTTCAGATGCCCTTGTTCTCCGTTCTTATTACTGTCTTCCGTGTGGTTCGTTGAAGTCAATATCAGGCCCTATTGATACTATTCCGTATGGGTTAATAGATGTATGGCTTTGCTGAAAATAAAATCAAGATGAATGCTAGCTTACTTATACTTCATTTACTCATGCTGAATAGTTTTGTTTGGCGTCTTCTTCTTATTTCAAGCATTCCTCTTATCAATTACAAAATTAGGAATAAATTAATGACTTTCATTCGAAATTGTACATGTCTTTACTAAGTTATGACTATGACATTTATCACAAATTATTCCAATTAGGATAGATCGTGGAGATTTCCTCCAATAGAAGTATATTGGGTTTTTGGAATATGTGCTGAAGTTTTTAAATATGCACTGAAGTTTGGAATGGACATTGAAGTTTTGGAATAGGCACTGAAGTTTTGGAATAGGCATTGAAGTTTTGGAATAGGCAGTAAAGTAATGGAATAGACATTGAAGTTTTTGAATAGGCAATGAAGTTTTTAAAAGGACATTGAAGTTTTTGAATAGGCAATGAAGTTTTTGGAATAGTATTGAAGTTTATTATAGTACTTTAATGTGTTATTGATTCACTATCTACAGCAGTGGTGAGACATGACATGTCTTTTTTACTGTCTGTTTCATTTTTCGTTTATCTATTAAACTATGATTTTCAGCAACAAATTATACTGAAAACAATTTCGTATGTAACAAAGTTATGTTGTAATTTCTCATCAATATTATGTCGATAAATTGTTAGTGAAACATGGGATAAGAAAACAGGTGCAAACACAATATCGATAAAAACCTTTAGTTTTTATGCCCTACTATCAGGGGCATTATGTTTTTTCGGTCAGTGCGTCCGTCTGTTCGTCCGTCTGTTCGTCCGTCTGTCCCGCTTCAGGTTAAAGTTTTTGGTCAAGGTAGTTTTTGCTGAAGTTGAAGTCCAATCAACTTGAAACTTGTTACACATGTTCCCTATAATATGATCTTTCTAATTTTAATGCCAAATTAGAGTTTTGACCCCAATTTCACGGTCCACTGAACATAGAAAATGATAGTGCAAGTGGGGCATCCGTGTACTATGGACACATTCTTGTTAATATTAAAATTCTCTACGGATAAAAAAAAACCTTAAATATTCTCCAACAAAAAGAACGAAACAAAGAACCTTCAGAGCACATGCAATAAATTAATAAAAAAATAAATGTAATTTATAATACCTGATAATGACACATTATATGTTGATGATCAACTGTTTCTGATGTACCAGCGGTCTGATAAATATCCTTTACGTACCCCCACATGTTAGGATAGTCTACAATTCTCTTCTTGTTACACTGAATAATGAAATTGAATTTAAAAAAAAAATCAAATTTCGTACGAAAACCATTATTTTTAAATGCTTTTCTATTTGTCTACAATGCCCTGTGTATCCATATGCCATCATATTCACGCCTACTTAATATCTTCTTGACGAACCATAACCAATTTAATCAGCATATGCATTACGTTGGTAAATCCATTTATCGATTTTAATCTCTTAAGCAGAGCTATATAAAATCCCTCGTCATAATGTTCGAAACAATTTAAAACTAGTAAAAATGGCTTGAAAAGTCAACACATCTGAATTTTAACCTGTTTTCATGGAAATGGTTTCCAATTATATATTTTTTTACCCTTTAGTTCCACTGTACATTCGTAATCGAGTATTTCAGGGAATTATACATATCAAAATATCTAAACTGAAATCTTCTACTGTTCACGAGGTTGCTGTATGATATCTACAGTAGTCTGTATAAAAAGTGTAGTAGGTGCAACACTTTGAGGTAGATTTCAGTAATTGTGACCCTTTTTAAAAAGGTGTTCTTTAAAATTGTTTTACGTTTAACTGTACTTTCATTGTATATAATACCAGTATTATTGATTTAAGTGGACGTTTTGTATTGTTTGTTTTTCTGAGTACCCGTGTCTATTTGACTGATCTAGATTTAAAAAAGGGGGGATGCTCGAAATAATAAGTTGACATGGTATTTGTTTGTTAAACTTTTCTAAAGCCAGGAACCTTGTCAGTGGTTGTATAAGCTTTTTTCCAAATGCCTTTGTCCATGAGGTAATTCAATGGTATGGTAGATGTTTTTGATAGTCTGTTAAATATATTCATTACTTGTCTATAGACTTGATCGGCTTTACAACTTCATATATTATTAATATTGAAATGTGTCTATTGTTGTGGAAAGTAGGTTGACCTCTACAGGTGTTTTGGAAGTTAAGTATTTGGATTGCTGTTTTAGATATATACACCACAACTCCTTATATATAAAAATAGACAAGGAAAAGATTTCGGATGGTGTCCTGATATTTCTATACATCTCGAATATAACAGAGAAAAATATCTATTGTGATTAAAATTAATCATACACATGTAAAATCATGCACTATTTTTCCAGTCCTGTCTGAGGTTGTTTTTATACCCGTTTCCTGTTTTCGAGGGATGAAAATATTTGATATAATATAAAAATGCAAAATACCTTGAAATGTCCTACATAAACCATGTCAAATCTGACAAGAGTTGTGAAAAGGCGAATGTCTGCTTCAGTAAGAAGAACTCCAGTTAAAAATCTCCTATTAGAAAGTATTTCTTCAACCTGTTAATACACTGGTTTATTAAATATTGTTAGTCTATTAAAATTTGAACAAAATAAAGCAAGTTTTCCAAAAAACAGCATTTCAAAATTTAAGTTTTCCAACTAATTATTTGACTGCTTGCAATTCGAAATTTTCTCCATATTGAAATTAACGCTTGCATACACATTTGCCAACATTGTTGAATAATGCATTTATATTGACCCCTTGATATTTCTTTTGTTTTTGTGTCGTTCGATTGCTGTCTCGCCGACGTAAACCCCCACATCTCCTTGTATTCATCTCCCCTATATTTCTTATATATGTCGTTCGGTTGTTGTCTTTTTGACATATACCTCACATCTCCGTTAATTCATCCCGGCTGGATTTCTTATTGATGTCGTTCGGTTTAGTTTCGATCAAGCATAGCTCAAGTCGTCTTTTAGTCACATTAATAAGCAGTGCCCTACTAGGAATAATTAAATATAATAAATAGTTTACAATTACGTAATATATTCTTCCTGAAAGGATGTACTTTAATATTATATGTGAATATGATATGATATCATTTAACTTATAAAAATAAGGAGATATGATTGCCAATGAGAGAGTTCAAATGACGATAGATAAAAGCAATCATGGGTCACCATAAGGCCTTCAACAATGAGGAAACCCTTACTGTACCGTCAGTTATAAAAAAAAACCTACATAAAAATGTGAAACAGTTCAAACGAGAATTTATAGTTATGACATATATACTGATCTGTTATTCTACAGATACAACATTTACTTACTCGATCAAGAGATTTGAACAGAGTCGTTACAGCTGTATTGTATGCATCCTGCTTGGTTGCAAAACCTTATTTGTAAACACCATTATTAATTTCCCTGGAAGTAAGAAACGTATAAACTGACGTTAAAACCTATTACCGTTTTCTTCAATTAAATCAGTTCCCGGTATGAACTGAATGACAATTGATGTTGATTACAAAAGTACATTGTAAGACCTTGTAAGTGTATAATGAAGACGTGCTTCTATTAGTCACATTATTATCAACCCCAGCACTGTACTCCAAAAATGTCTTAGCAGTTTTAAGGTGCTGTAGTCCACAACTGACAGCTGATGTCAAAGTGAAAGGTGCTAAACAAATTTTGATTGATGCAAATCGACATATTTTCTAATTCAACAATCACCCCCCGGTTTATGGTTGAGTTCGTGTTGCTCAGTTGGTGTTCTATGTTGTGTTTTGTATACTGTTGTTTGTCATTTGGTCGTTTTCCGTTTATTTGCCCTGACATTGTCAGTTTGTTTTCGACTTTGTTGTCTTTCACCTCTGTTTTGCATCCCAAATGTAATATCTGTTTATACCTATGTCTAATATTTGTCATATAATGTTTTATATGATAAACCAAATCTGTAGTACTATATATACAAGTTTATATATTTTTGTTTTTCAAATTTAATATCAATTCCGAACCGAAAATTCTTGTTATACTATATAAAAAAAAATGCATGTTATGTTTTGTGGAAATCTTACGGATAAATCAATTTGTTGAGTTCATCAATTTGGGAGCGAAGTTCTTCAGGATATAAATCTAACGATTTCTGTTCTTCTGTTGGGCAAAATTCATTGAATTCTGAATTAAGCATTCTAATTATTTCACTCGATTCATTATTTACAATTATTCCTTGAACTTTATCCCATAATACTGGTACGGACACAACTGCATCATAATCTGTAATCATCACAAACATGTTATCTTTTACCAAAATATGCTAATTTTCAAAGTCGTATTATCAAAATTGTGTTAATTTAGTAAGAAATTTTAAAAAATCAAAATGTAAAAACCTATCGTTAAAAGAGAGATGAAAGATACTAAAGGGACATTCAAATTTATAATTCGAAAATAAACCGACAACGCCTATCGCTAACATTCGCAATACAATAAAAGAACAGAGTTCCAATGTCCCCAGCGATGCATATATTTTTCCGTCCAAGGGCAATAACTAAAAAAACTTCTTTTTTGTTCTTCAAAACTTTTTATCAATATCTTAGGAGAAATTATGTCTTGGGAGAACTTACAATGCAACTTTCCATATAACCAATATTTCCAAAGGGCATAACTCTTTTAAAAATAGTTGATCGCCACTGATTTTCGAAAGTGTCCGAGACATGAAACTACACAAGCCATTACCAACAAATCATACATCATACGTACTTGCATTTGATCTCAAATTGAAGCCAGCAAACTGTAAAAGCGGCCATGATGGTAAATTTCTCATAAGACTCACAGTCACCCGGAGAAGGTAAAAACAAATTAAAGAACCATGAGTTCATAATGGCTATTTTACTGTGCCAATCGGACAATGAGACGAGAGTACACAACTTACCAGGATCGACAATTTCATACACTTCTCGGAGATAAGTCTTGCCATTTATGGTGTCTGGGGTGCATTTAGGTCTCTGAAAAAGAAAATACCGATTATATGATTGAATATAAACACTAAATGCATTACATTGGAAAATAAAATGTTCTTAACAAAACTTTTTTTTTAAACCAAGGGGCACAAACAAATGTCCACTAAGGACAACTTGCGATCAGTTCTTGGGATATACTATATTGCGGATTAGAGAATCTATTATTTTGTTTTCTTTTCTTCAAAAATATAATTGATGGAGATCACACACAATTTGTTGATAACATGAGTTCAATGAGATAAATGTCATTAGCTTTATATTGCAGACACCATACATATATGTACATATTCAGCAAGTTCACAGTTTGGTATTTTTACGACAATCAATCGTACCTTATCAGTAAAACTCCATCCTTTTTCTGTAAGTAGCCAATCAACGACTGTACATGATATAATATTATCTAATCCTTTTAGTTTCCGAAAAATGAACGTACGATGTGCCCATGGACATGCCAATGATACGTAGAGGTGGTATCGATTAGCCTCGGCTGGAAATCCAGAAGATCCATCAGCTGAAAATGACAAGGATTGCCAGTATATATATATATATATATATTGAATACTGTGAACAAGCGAGTAAAAGACAACTCTAGGACAGTAAGATAAGTACAGACACACGTAGGAGCAATTATAACAGTCTTTTAAATGCCTTATTGTAAAACAAAAACAGAACCATTTTGCGCCCCTTGAATACAGGACTACGTTTATCGTGGTGAACTTTCTCCTTATCATTACCATCTTTTTTGTGCATATCATACCACAGTTATTTCAACGCTAACGAAAATCTGAGATCATCTCCGCATCTTCCAGGTTATGACGAATGCTTTGGTAGGCTGGGTATAGTCTTAGTTGTCAAGTTACGGCGACCTGTGCGGAAAGATAAGAGACCATATACTTGTCTAATGCTTTTGCCAGAACCACTATTCCACCGGTTCATTCACAAATTATTGATAACACTTGCATAAGTAGATATAAGAAGATGTGGTATTAGTGCCATTGAGTCAACTCTCCATCCAAGTCAAAATTTATAAAAGTAAACCATTATAAGTCAAAGTACGGTCTTCAACACGGAGCCTTGGCTCACACCGAACAGCAAGCTATCAGGTTTTTTAAAGACATATATGAACCAGTCATCATAAATATCTGAGAGTATAGTTTAAGTCGACACTAGGGGTCTTGTTTTCTTGAATTTCTCATATGAACGAAAAGAGCTGAAGCTATACGTCCCTGAGACAGCGACCAAACGACAAATACAATATTTATATAGAGCACAACATACTGTCTTCAACAATACAAAATGTTTATTAAAAAGGCAACTATATTTGGAAAATGAATTTTTGACGAAACTTTTTTTCCATATTTTATTTTCAACAAAATGATAACTTTATCATGGCAAACATTTTTAAATATGTAAGCAAGTTTAGATTTTTTAACTTTCAGGTTTTTCATTCTCCCAAGGTTCTTTTTTTAACTGTTTAACAACACAGATCAGCTTGTCAGTTATTCTCTCGCCTTGCAAAATTACCAAAAAATAATTATTATCTATATATATAGTCATACAGATTCGTGGGTTAATTTATTCATTCATTCATTCATATCTTTAATTCCTCATAAATGAGATTCAATGAACATATAATTAATGAATATAAGTAAACGTCATAATTACACACAAAATATTAGTATAAGAGCAAAATATAAAGTAAATACACAAAAGATAAATGACTGGTTATACAAGCAATATTTAAAATACTGATGCAGTGACACATCATGTATTGGCACATCTAATAACACTGTCTAAGAGATCGACTATATTCTGCTACACACTGGATAACATGTGCATGACACAGCTTGAGAAACTGAACCGATTCATCTATGTTTGAAAAAATTGTCAGTGGTTTTCGACCGAGTAACATTTGAAACAGGATTTCGTCGTCATACATGTTTAATTCACAGTAAAGCTGCACTGGAACATTTTCAACTAAAATGTCCCACCAGACTTCGCGCTGTGCATTAGTACTTGGGCAATTGCAACACGCGTGTACATAAACATCTTTAAAATTCATTGTGCATATATCACATGTATTACTTGTTGTATTTGGTATTTCAGTTAGTAATTTAGTGATTAAGAAGGAATTTTTAATCTCCTTAAAAGAATTTGAGTATTTCCAAAATTCCGTAATAGTCACTGACGTGTGAATATTCCTGAAACGTGTGAAATTGTCATCAGAATTAACACGGTTTAACCAATTGTTTAACTGTATACTATCAACTGCGCTATAAACGATAGACTTCCAAATTTGTTTTGATGGGAATGTTCCCTCTTCAATATAGTCAAGAAGGTAACTAATAAGTCCATACTGTTTTAAAATGTCAACGATATCAGGAATAAATCCGTAGTGTTTCCTTTGAGAGTCTACAAAGAAAGTAAACAATATGGTGAGAAAAATTCTCTTAGAAAGAGAGGAAATGTCTAAGATACACAGTTTTTGTAGGAATATGAGTTTTCTTTTGTCAATATATCCTGTTATTGGATGAATACCAAGAATACTTTCGCACATATCAGATCGAGTCGACGTTTTCAAGTTGAGAATATGTTTCACTATAAAATGTTGAAACCGGTTTAAAGTAGCTTTGTCATAAGATTTCATGTTATTCCACATCTCACACCCGTATAAAACACTGGGTAGTATCACAGTTTTATATAGATTGAGTAATACACACAGATTCGTTGCGTTTGTCTTTATACCATTCAACGCAAAGTATGCGTTTCTGCCTTTTCTGCATGAACTTTCAGTTCTTTGATTTGATTTAAATCGAGAGTTTAGTTCTATACCTAAGTGCAGATAGTTATTTGCTATCGGGATACGTTCATTACCAATTAACCATGGAAAATTGACATTGATCTCTCTTGTATTTACAGAAAATTTAATAATACACGACTTATTTGCATTAAAACGAAAACGCCATTTCTTTGAATATTGGTTACACACATTAAGCATACGTTGTAAGGCTACTGGAGATGTGGCAATACATGATATGTCATCTGCAAGAGCTGGTGCACAACAATTGATATTGAAAATACCTGTATTTGGATTAAATTTTTCCAGATCACAAATTAAATCATTTATAAATACTAAATACAATAAACCTAAGAGCACACCTCCTTGTCGTACACCTTCTAATACAGAGAAAAAATCTGATTGACATTGATTGACAACAACTGCACTTTTCGTATTATAATGGCAGTCATTAATTATTAACCATAGCTTGCCATTTACACCAAGTTTAAACAGTTTGTACATTAAACCTAGCCTCCATACCGTATCAAATGCTTTCCTGCTATCCAGGAATGCTACAAAAATTTTACTAAATAATTCAATATTATGAAATATAGTTAGGATGCAGTAAGACATCCGAGATATTTCTGAAAACCTTGCTGCTGAGGGTTCGGAAAGACACTTTCATCAAAGACATATAACAACAATCTTGACTTAATAACATGCTCAAACACTTTGAGTACACATGAAAGTAAGGTGATTGGTCGGTAACTGTCCGGTGAAGTCTTAGGTTTATTGTTGCCTTTAAATAATGGAACAAGAAGACCTAGTTTCCAGCCATTAGGGATACGACCTTTACTCACAACTAGATTGAATAACGATGTTAAGCATCGAACTAAAGTATTTCCACCATACAACAGATGTTCGTGTTGAATTTTGTCATGGCCACTAGCTTTTCTACGCTTTAAGAGTTTAATTATACCATCGACTTCCCTTTCTTGGATAATACCACCTGGTAAATACACGTTTTGTTCATAACAAGATTTTAATATTTTATTGTAATCAAGTTCAATCTGTTGTTTCGTGTCATTATCATACACTTCATCACTGTCAGGCTGGTAGAGTTTCGAAAAATAGTCCATAAACGCATTAGCGATGCTTTCGGGAGTGTTGCATATATTGTCATCTTGGATTATTTCAGGATAAATTTTGGACGAGACAGTTTTATTACGTTTAATGAGTTTCCAAAAAAGACGGATATCGCATTCAGCTGCCTTATTAATGTCATCGTTAGTTTGTTGTATATATTGTTCATACGCAGCCTGTTGTATATTTCGGAATTCATGTTTTGCTCTCTTGTATAACCTATATGAATCGTGATGCATACCTCTAGGGCGACCATCAATAACCCAGGCTTTTCGTAATGATCGTTCCTTCTCGTGGGCAATCTTAACACCAGATGTCCAATACGGTTTAGTAAAAGGATTAAATCCACACTTCGGGACTGTTTTATCTGCTGCAAAATGTAAAATAGTCACCATATCGTTGTATATAGTATCAATATCTGCATTATCCGAGTCCATTTTCTTTATCAAAATTTGTAAAGGTTCGTGTAAAAATTGTTTATACAGTTCGATTTGATCGTCCGTTATTTTGTGCCATGCTGGTAGCTTACTAAATGAATTCAATATTTGATGAGGATTATGTTGCAACACTATTTCGGCTAAAACTGGTAAATGATCGGATGTACTACTAACCGAACCCTCGCTAAGTATTTCATAAGACTTAAGCTGCCTATATATACTATCATTCATAAGAATATAATCAATCATTGATGTCTTATTAATAAATGTATAATCTGGCCCTTTATGTTTAATTTTTCCACCTGAAAACAGCAATTGATATCTTTTAACAAATTTCAATAGCTCCGCAGATTTGTACCTGTTTGAACATAATTTATCTTTCTCAAGACAACTGGCATTTAAATCCCCTGCGATTATAACATTGCCATAATTACTATAATGAGTATATAATGTATCTAATATATTAAGTTCAGTTCTATAGTTATCTACAGATTCATCAGACGGTAAATATGCACCAAAAATAAATAATGACCCCTTAGATGGGGTTTTGATCTCAAGACCAACAATTCTTTCTGAGTTCGTATCATGAATTTCATTAATAGAAAATTGTAGTGTGCTCTTATACAGGATGGCAATACCACCTTTACCATGATATGCGTTATAAAAATTAGGCAAGGAATCAGCTTTACATACACATTTATATCCTTGTTCAATACTTGACAAATAATTTAAGGATCTGGTTTTAAGTTTATGTTCAGAGATAATACAAACATCACAGTCAGTACTTCTTAATAAATTACTCAAACATACAGTAGAAGACATAATACCTCTTACATTCCATGCTAAAAGTTTTAGACTAGACATTATAAGAAACAAGGTAACCAAGGTAACAAGGGAAAATAATATTTTACACTGCATTTTGATTGTTTATTATGAGTCTGGTTCATGTTGAGCATCATCCGTAAAGCGTTGATTCCATTCACGGTTGCTTAACCATTTTCTACAATACACGCCCCTTTCGGCCAAAAGTTTTCTGTTTCGACAATTTCTGCACAATTTTCTGCGATGTTAAGCTTTGCAGATATCCGACGATCATTGTTCCTTGTGCTAAACAAACGTAAGTATGTCACATGTACATTTTTATTTTCTAAG